CATTGAAATCGAATAAAATTTACCAATTTCCGCCGCCTAGTGCAGTGAGTGTGTCAGTTTGCCAATCTTTTCGATTTTTCTGATTCCTTCAATCCCAAGCAAAAATGCCCTTGATAACAAATTACAGCAAAATCGGAGCAGAACTAGTACTTAATTTGCGAAAAATAGTTAAATTATAACAAATACGCCACAAACTTGATAACCACGATATATTTTTCCATTTACTATGTATTGACAACTTTCTATTTAAATTCGAACAGTTTAAAATCGATGCTAAATAGTGTAAAAAATTATCATTAAAAAATCAGATGTGTTACGTTCTATCACTATATGTCAGAGCTGTGTAATGATTGAATCAATTGAGTGTGCATTCTCATTTTTTTCGTTTAAAAAATGTGATTGTTTGATTTAAAAAATTTAACAACCACTCTTGAGATTGGTTACAAATTCCAAACACAAAATATGTAGTGTGTTATGGAATGGTTGATACCCATTCACATAGAGAATGTGAATGCAAAAAAAAAACTCAATCATGTATGATTGGACGTTTATGGGAATGCAATCTGTCATTATCATTCAGTACTAATACTATTTGTTGTATCAGGGTTGAAATTTTTGTACCCAAAATGTGAAACCAGAAGATTGCCATCTCCCTTAAAATAAGTAAACAAATAAATATTTGGTGCTAAAATATTTTTCTAAGTGTTTGGCCGAACTTCTGCTCAAACTTGAGGCATGAGTTCTGATTTTATAAGAAGAGTTTTCAAGGCAGAAATATACTCGAAGGTATGCCATTGCGTGCCGAAGGACGACTGCTATTTTGTGTTATGATCTGACCAGGTATTTAACCATGGTCCTATGGAGTGGAAGTACGCACATGTAATCACTCTGCTACGGCGGCCGCCGTAAGTACATGCTATACATATCGTCGTTTAAAGTACAAAACCGCGTATCAAGAAAATGCAAAACCGCGTAATTGCATAAATTATTTTCTAGAGAGTAAAGTCACCCATATTTCAAAATGGTTATCTTTTTTATAAAGCAAACGTATTTCTGGCTAGTATATTTCAGGACGAATGGATAAGAATTGAGCCAAGAGCTTTTGTGAGCAAATCCAATTTTTGGCAGCCAATGTCAATCACACGGTTTTGCAGAATGACGATACGCGGTTTTGTACTTTAAACGACGATATATATGTACACATATTAGATTATTTATTCCCAAAATGCATGAAAACTATAGTATGCTTGCAAACAATTAATAACATTTCGTGATAAACAGTTTTACAAATGTATTTGCACTTCAAATTTGTATTTTAATAAAGTATTAATTAAATAAATTATTATTGTAAATTATTATTTTAATAAATAGATATAGAGATATTTATACTTGGCAACTCTTGGACTTTTCTTCATTTGTAACAAATGACAGATGTAAACAAAATAAAAAAATAATTGTATTTTT